TCTGTTCTGATCGAATTTTAATTAATTTTGATGGAACCCAAACCTTTTCTTCTCCTGTGGAAACAAAAGCATAACCCCTTCCCCAACGTAACACATATCCTGGTTTCCAGACTGAGGTAATAACATCCTTAAAATACACCGGTTGGTTCAGTTCAGAAGTCTTCTCTGTAGTCCAGTGTCTTTCTGCTGCAGCTTGTCCTTTTTCATCAGCATTAAGAAAATTCAACATTAGTAAAGCATTATGTAACCTGTGTTTAGGTGTTTTTGTTTTCCCTGGCTGTTTATGAAGCATCTCTTTCAAGGTTCGGTTAGATCTTTCAATTACTGCTTGTCCTGTGGGATTGTAAGGTATACCAGTTACATGTTTTATATTATAATATTTGAAAAATTGTTCCAATTTACTGGAGACATATGCTGGAGCATTGTCAGTTTTTTTTTGGTTTTTTTTTTGCATTGTCAGTTTTTATTGTTTTAGGTATACCCATAACAGCCATCACCTCTAAGAGGTGTGTAATAACAGAATCAGCTTTTTCAGAGCTGAGGGCAGTAGCCCATTGGAAGCCTGAGAATGTGTCAATGGTATGGTGTACATATTTCAAACTGCCAAATTCTGGGAAGTAAAATACATCCATTTGCAAAAGTTCATTTCTGTGAATACCTTTAGGATTACAACCTGCTGGTAATGGAGTTTAATTGTAGAATGAGCAACTGGGACAATTTCTTACTATTTCTTTGGCTTGTTGCCAGGTGATAGAAAAATCCTTCTTTAAACCTTTGCTGTTAACATGGTGTTTCTTATGAAATTCTGAAGCTTCCAACACATTACCTACTAATAAACGATCAATTTCATCATTGCCTTGTGCCAGAGGACCTGGAAGACCTGTATGGGATCTGATGTGTGTTATATATATATAGGATGAGTCCTGTTTCTGATGATTTCCTGCAATTGTAAAAACAATGAGGTTAATTCTGTATTATCAGGAACAAATTCTGCAGTCTCAATGTGCAAGACAACTCTTTCTGCATACTGAGAATCCGTGACTATATTGAGAGGCTCTGTAAAGTCTTTAAGTACCATGAGAATGGCATATAACTCTGCCTTTTGTACGGAGTTGTAAGGGCTTTGAACTACTTTACTTATATCTCCTGATTTATACCCTGCCTTACCTGATTTGTTTGCATCTGTGTAGAAGGTAAGAACTCCAGAAATAGGTGTTTGCCTCACGATACATGGAAGAATCCAAATTGTTTTCTTTATGAATTTGATTCTCTCTGTTTTGGGATAGTTATTACTAATACTTCCCAAAAAGTCACTGCAAGCTATTTGCCAATACTCATTATCCTTCCATAAGGAGGAAATTTCGTCATTCGTTAAAGGTACAATAATTTCAGCTGGGTCTTTCCCAGTCAGTTGAGGAAGCCTTAACTTACCTTTTAATATCAAATCGGAGATCTTTTCTATATATGTTTTCAATTTTTTATTCTGTATATGTGGCAGAAATACCCATTCTAGAATGATGTCTTCCCTCTGCATTAATATTCCTGAGGGGTATTCTCTAGATGGTAAAATAACCAGAATACAGTCCAGATTTGGATCCACACGGTCCACATGTGCTTCTAATAATCTCTTTTCTACCCATTCTAATTCTTTTTCAGCCTCAGCTGATAGTACTCGTGGGCTGTTTAGGTCTTTATCTCCTTTTAAAGCCATTTTCAGGTGTTTTAAATCATGCCCTTCTACACCGATAATTGTCTGTAATTGAGAGATTTCTCCTAATATTTTTTGAAGATCATTAAGAGTCTGGTAACGATCTCTTCTGATCTGTACTTTCTGCGGTCTAATTTTCTGAGCATCTATTTTATAACCTAAATAGTTAATAGAATCTCCTCTTTGTATTTTTTCTGGGGCAATTTGTAATCCCCAGCGAGGCAAAGTTTCCTTTACTGCTTCAAACATCTTTTCCAAAGTATCCTTATTTGAATCAGACAATAATATGTCATCCATATAATGATATATTAACAAATGTGGAAATTTTTTACGAATTATTTCTAGAGGTTTATTCACAAAATATTGACACAAAGTTGGACTATTTAACATACCTTGAGGTAGTACCTTCCACTGGAATCTCTGTAGCAGACGGGAATTATTATAGGTAGGTACTGTGAAGGCGAACTTTTCTCTGTCGTTTTCTTGTAATGGTATGGTGAAGAAACAATCTTTTAAGTCTATAACTATAATTGGCCAATCCTTAGGAATTAGAGAAGGTAATGACATCCCAGGTTGTAGAGACCCCATAGGCTGAATTACCTTGTTGATGGCTCTAAGATCAGTAACCATTCACTTACCAGACTTCTTCTTGACAACAAAAACAGGTGAATTTCATGCACTAGTTGATTCCTCAATATGTCCAGCATCTAGCTGTTCCTGAAGTAACTTCTCCAAAGCCTCTAACTTCGCAGATGTCATAGGCCATTGACCCACCCAGACGGGTTCATCTGTCAGCCATTTTAAGGGTAGAGCTTTTGGTTGCTCTGTAGGTTTGGCACTAGCATCTTGCTTCTGTACAGCCTGTACATTTAGCATCTGTTTTCTGTACTGCCTTACTATATTCTTTCTACCACTAAGAGCTTGTCTATAATTCCTAGCTGATACAGGAGGAATGTTAATCTGAGTATTCCATTGCTGGAGTAGATCACGACCCCAGAGGTTTATAGCAATATCTGCAACAAAAGGCTTTAACCTTCCTCTCTGTCCTTCTGGCCCAATAAAGTCAATCCATCTAACGCTCTGTTTAACTTCAGATAGGGTTCCAATCCCTAAGAATTGAACATTAACCTCTTTTAAAGCCCAATTGGGGAGCCAGGACTTCTGATTAATTATTGTGACATCACTTTCGGTGTCTAAAATGCCGTTAATCATCATATTATTTACCTTAACTGATAACTTGGGTCTATGATATTGTATAGAAGTTTGCCAAAATATATGTTTTGTATCTCCTCTTGATATAATTGATTCATCCTCTGGAGCTAATGTATTATCCAGTGCCATATTATTTACAATGGGCAGTGGATCTTCTAATTGTCCTGGGAGAGGCTGTCCTCCACTGTCACTGGGAATGACCGGATAATCTTTCTTTTTGGGGCTCGATTGAGCCCCTGATCCCCGTTTCCCGGCTTTAAAGATCTACCTTGTCTATCTCTTGTGGACCAGAATTCGTCAGTCCAATGATAGCCTTTCCACACCTCCTGCAGAGACCAGAAGGCTGAGGCCTTCTATTTGATACATTCCTGGTAAAAGCATTATTTCTATTAATGCGTTGTCTACAATTCCTACTAAGATGTCCTATTCTGCCACAGTTAAAGCATGTTGCATCTTTATGCCTGTTAAAATTCTTGGAGATTGCCTTCCCTACCCAGGCCTCTATATCATCACAGGTAGGGTATTTGGCATCCTGGTGCCTCCTCAAGCCTGTAGAAATAGCTTCACCTACCTAAGCTCCCGTATCCTGACTTTTACATTCCAGGTTCGCTGTATGTAGGACCCATTCCTCCAATGATGCTGATCTTATTTTTAATGGCTAAATTACCTGCCTGCATTGAGGATTCGCCTTCTCATATGCCAAAGATTCTATAAGGAGTCGCCTGGATTCTGGATTTGCTACCTGTACTTCTACTGCTCTGGATAATCTCTCTAAAAATTCAGTGAACCTTTCCCTTTGGCCCTGTAAAACCTTGGTATAGGGTTGCATTATCTCTCCTGTTTCACAAACCTTATCCAAGGCATTTAAAGCAGCTGTACGGCATAAAGACAACATGTGCTCGTCATATGCAGATTGAACCTGCGTGTCAGTGTAAGGACCCTCCCCAAGAATCTTGTCTTGGGGTACTTCATGACCGTTCTTTAATTCCTGAATCTCTAAAGCTTTCGCTTCTTGCCTCCATAAAGCTCTCCATTGAATTTGACAAGAATTTTCAAGCACTGCGGAGGCTAATTGGGCCCAGTCTTTTGGGGTTACTTTATTTACAATAGCCCATGAGGTTAGGAGCTCTCTGACAAAGAGAGAATGAAGACCATACGAAACAATGGCCTCCTTGATTCCCTTTAGATCCTTCATCTGCATAGGTTCCCAGTGATAAGCAATGGGACCATTTGATTGTTTTTTCGTTGCTGGTTTTTCTGTTACAGATACTGGGAAAACCATAGGTGAACGCATAGCAACCTTAGGGAGATCTTTCCGGCATTTGAGAGGTGTTGGGAAACTCCTGTCCTGACCTATTGCCTGTATGTCTGATTCTGAAGTATCAGATTGAACATCTTCTAAATCCTGCAGTCTATTCATCATTGTTTCTCTGAGCTCTTGAAGTTCTTGGGACAAACAATTTTCTAAGGACGTCATGGAATCTTTCATTTTTTTACATTCATCATTTACATGTGATTCCACATATTTAATATTCTCATCCTTAGAAAGTATCTCAATGGCATGTAAACTACCTTCCACAAATGATATTCTATCAGTTAGTTTGTCATTGCTCTCAAACATGGAACAATTCTTTTCTGTTAGCATTTCAATCTTATGTTCCAGTCTTTGTAGTTTGCTAGTGAAATCATCAACCATGGAACAGTTTTGTTGGTTAAATGTTTCAACGTTATGTTCCACTTTTTCTATTCTATCTGTTGAACACATTTTTCCTGAAAGTAATTCAATTTTGTGTTCCGTCTCTTTAAACCTGTTTGTCAGACCTACATTATCATTTTTAATATCCTGAATATTTTCTACCAACCCTTTCTTACTATCCTGCAAGGAATTTTGCATTTCCTGAATTCTTTGTATTAAGATTTCAAAACTATCCTGCGATGACCGTATGACCTATATAAGTTTCGTCCTATTTTTGAGCCATTTCTTTAGCAAAATTATATTAATTATGAAACTAATAATCACCATCGTGGGTAGGAAGTACCTTTCAGGTAGGTCCTCAACACTTTCTAAATTCCCATACATACAAAAAACAAGAAAATTCTTAACATCCTGCATCATAATGTTAGCTGACATTGTATAAAGCAGTTAAGTTTGTTACCGGAGGAGTTTAATTCAGGCCGAGATAAGCAGGCTGCTAGCGAAAGAGCACGTGGCCTCGAGAGAAATCTCGGAATACCACCTAACCTTACTGGCAGGTAGAAGGAGCTGGTTCCCGGCAGCAGGAATCGTGCTTGCCAAGCGAAGTGGTGAGGAACTTAGCGAAAGGAGAGTCCACATGTCCCTGGTCGGGCCGAGGAGCAGCCACTTTTCTGGGCGCCTGGATCTGGATTCCAAAACTCCCGACACCAAATGAGGCTCCAAATGACACTTGCATGCCTTTGAGAATGTTGGTGATGTTCTTTGATATTATCATCTTCCCATTTGTAGCCTATAGCCTTGAGGTTCATATAGGCCTCCAGCATCACATCTTTGTAAAGATTCTTCTGTGAAGGATCTAGCAAAGCCCACTCTTCCTGAGTGAAGTTGATATGCAAATCTTGATAGGTTACTGCATACATGCGGTGGTTTTCAAGCTCCTCTTGGCTCAGCTCCATGCAGTAGCTCTCACAGAACAGCACACAAGACCAGCGGAACAGTTTCTCTGCAAATCCAAGCCTGAAGTCATGCCTAAAGTGGGTGTGGTTAGCGGTGTGGTAAACCACCCTTTTATTACCTCATCTGTATACGCCTCTAGTAAGTCACATGGTTAATGGCGGCATACAGGCTTTCTCCTACAGGGTTCTAACAGGATATACTCTTAGCTGCATCCACTAAGAGCACCACCTGTGCACATTCACTACGTTTCCTTTTAAAAGGGCCCTGACCACCTCCCATCTTTCTCTTTCCCTGTGTCTGTCTGTTCCTCTCTCTCTCTCCCTTCCTCCTCCCTCTCCTCTCTTCTCCCCTTTCCTCTTCTACCATTCAGGTTCCCAAAGGCCAGGCTCCCCTCTCTCCTCTCCCATTCACTTTCCCCCAGTAAAGCACCCCTCCACCCAAGCTCTGTCACATGGCATCTTTCTCTTCCTTTCCGCTTTTTAAAATTACAGCATGGCCTCCCTATGTGTCTTAGGCTGGCCTGGAACTCACTGTGTAGCTGAGGATGCCTTGAACTATTGCTTATGATGCTTCCACTCACAGGTTCTAGGACTACCGGTATGTGCCAGCCACCATATCCTGCTTGATTTCCCTGTTTTTAAAGTTACTACGGTTCAGATATGAGGCTGAGGAGACAAGTTGGCCTTTTCTGTCCACTCCCGCTGCACTGCACTCACTCCCTGTGCCGCCAGGCTGGCGCCCTGTTCCCAGCCACCATCATGATCACCTACCGGGGACCTCATCAGTCATGATGAGCTGTTCACCGACATCTACAAGAACTGGGAGACCGTGGACAGGCTGTGCCTGGGGGGTGGAGAGCCAGTAGAACAGAGGGTGACGTCAATGACTCACTCACTGGTGGAAACACTTCTGCTGAAGGGGAAAGCACAGTGGTCCCCTGTGCTAATGCCATGGACCATCGCTCAGAGAGGCCAGCTCCCCAAAGGAGGCTACAGAAAGTCCAGCCAAGGTTACGTGAAATCACTCCAGGGGCTGCAGAGCAACTAAGCTCATCCTTGCTGATTTCAGTAACTACCGTTTCCCTTTTGTTTTTTTTGTTTTTTTTGTGAAAACACGAATCCAGATGGCATGGTTGCCCTTCCAGACTACCATGAGGATAGTCTATTTAAGATTTTCTTTAAGAATGGCTTAGAGATGGAGGAATGTTAACAGATTGGATCTCTCTATTGCCTGGCTCTATATCCAGCTGCTGCTTACCATCCACACAACACCAGGACTTAGGACAAATGGGACCTTTGTCATCTTGAACTTTTATTTTGACCTTGATTTACTTGTAAGGCATGTAAAGTATATCTCAGTAAAATTTCAAAGTTTAAATGTTACTCTCTGTGACCATCATCACAGAAGCATCCATCCCCCTACCGGCCACTCTCCTCCTAGTATCCACCCCTCCCTTCCCCATCTCCATGTCCTCTAAGTTGGTCTTGAACTCATGGTTTCAAATAATCTTTCTACCTCATCCTCTGCAGTAGGTAGGTCTCCAAGCATTTGGTGCCTGCTCTAAAAGCTGTTATCTTAAGGGGACAAGATAGCTGAACTGGTACAGGCAGCTGCTATTGAGGTTGACAACCGAAGTTTAATCCCCAAGACCCATATGGTGGGAAGAGAGAACCAACTCCTCTGAAAGTTGTCCTATGATCTGCACATGTGCCCCACCCCCAATAAAAGCAACTTAATGATTTTTTAAAAGTTTCATTTTACTTTATATATATATATATATGTCTGTTTTGTCTGCATGTATGTTTGTGCACCATGTCTGTGCCTAATTACCCACAAAGGCCAAAAGGCATCAGATCCACTGGAACTAGAGTTATAGGCCATAGCTGCCATATGAGTTCTAGGATTTGAACCCCAGGTCCTCTAGAAAAGTAGTGATGCTCTTACCCACTGAGACTTTTCTAGAGCCTCTGTAATGATTTTTTTTAAAGTTATCATCTTTAAGAATAGGAACTTTTGTGTGTGTGTGTGTGTGTGTGTGTGTGTGTGTGTGTGTGTGTGTGTGGTGGTATTTATATGAATTATAGTTACAGATTCTTATAGCTAACACAATAAGTACTAAAAGTCCTTGGGTAACAATGGCCACGTTTTTCCCCCTCCTGGGATAAGGTTTCTCTGTGTAATAGCTCTGACTGTCCTGGAACTTGCTCTGTAGATCAGGCTGGCTTTGAATTCACAGAGATCAGCCTGCCTCTGCCTCCCAAGTGCTGGGCCTAAAGGTGTGCATCACCACCACCCAGCTAACAACAGCCACTTTTAAAGCCGTGTTATGAGGTCATCAATGACAGGTTTTTCAAAAGTGCTAAGGACTAAGGATTTAAAAAAAGAGAGAATTTTCTGTTACTTACCTTTTATTTCTTTATGAATATTTAGTCCTTATATGTCACAGTTAATTTTTCTAGAGGATTATATAATTCCAAATTTATCACAAAGCATAAAAAAATTTCAGTAATCCAATTAAAATTTGACCATCGTGGGCTAGAGAGATGGCTCGCTCAGTAGTTCTGGGCACTGATTAATCTTCCTGGGAACCTGGGTTGGAGTCACCATCTGTAGCTGCAACTCCAGGGGATCTGACACTCTCTTCTGGCCTCTGCAGGAACCAGGAACCTGTGTGACGCTGCACACACATAAAAAATAATAAAAATTTGACCACCTTGATTTAGCAATAATTTATAGTGGATAGCAATCGGTTCATATTTAATATGATGATGAAGGTCAAAAAAGTATGTCAGTGGGAACTTTCATATACTCAAAATTTGTGGCTGTTGGCTGATGCCATACCAAGTTAAGTGTCATACATAGTAGCTCTGATGAGGTAAGCACCCAAGTGTAATTTGTGACTATAAAGAAAGCCATATCTTTGATTATTTCAACTCTGCATAGGTTGCTATCTGGGCTGACTGGGTGGCTGGATTCATGCTACCTTAAGTGCTGTAAGTTAAGCAACACAGCCAGTACCTGAAGAAGTCTGAAAGTAAGTTACAAGGACTGATTATTTCTAGTTCTGTTAGCTAGTGTCAGCAACAAATGCTGGTGAGCTGAGAAGCTAGTATTCACTGGGGCACTTGGTTCCACAGAATGGCAGTATACAGGGGCCTGGGTATGGGGCCCCTGAGGAAATCTCTTTTATGATATCTCCCAGTTCAGTGACTTCTTTCGTTGCATTCATTAAAGCTTTTGCTACCTATATTATTACATTTTCCCCATAAAAGAGTGAGCTGGGCAGTGGTGGTACACGCCTTTAGTCTCAGCACTTGGGAGGCAGAGGCAAGTGGATCTCTGTGATTTCGAGGCCATCCTGGTCTACAGAGCGAGTTCCAGAACAGCTAGGGATACACAGAGAAACCGTTTCGAAAAAAATAAAAAGAGTGTTCTGAGCAGGTAATCAAATCTTGTTCTCCCAAGTGGCACTGTTTCATTTCAGTGATCGATGAAACTGGCATGGAGAAGTTACCTGAAAATAGACTCTAAATCGTGAAGAAGCCAAATTTCTAGTGCCCTCAGATAATCTGTTTTCAGTATGCCCATGCCTAGAATCCCAGGAAGCACGAGATAGTCAGAAAACGCGGCTCCCTAAGCTTAAGAAGCACGTCCCAGAATCCCACCGGGACTCCAAATCCCAGAAACCCGCGTAGCAAATCCATCCAGGAAGCATAGCAGGCTAGCCGCGGACGCGACCAAGTACAAGAATGGGGGGATCAATTCTAAGCATGTGTGTGCCTTGGAGGTTTTGCGTGGGAAAATTTCCGTTTACAAGATGAATTTTCGAATTTTACTTCTGAGTTTCCAAGATCTCCGCCATTTCAGAGAGTCTGGTGGAATTGCGGCGGATCCCGTTCCCTCTGCTGCCCCGTCCTCCCCCGTGAGGATGAGCGCGCAGCTCCTGCGCCCGCCCTGCCGCGGTATGCGGCCTTGGGAGCGAGCGTGGTGGGAGGAGCCGCGCGGGAGGCGTGTTGTGCAGCGCGGCGGGAGGAGCGTCGGGGTTCGGGCTGTGGCGGCGAGGCGACCCTTCGCTCATCGCCGCGGGCAAGGCGGGCAGGTCGGCGAGGCGGGCGGCCACGGCTTCCCGACACACTCGGGCGGCCGAGTCCCTCGCGTCGCCCGGCACTGCCCCGGCCCCCTCGGCCTCCGGCGGCGAGGCGGGGGAGTGAGGCGATGCCGACCCAGAGGGACAGCAGCACTATGTCCCACACGGTCGCGGGCGGCGGCGGCGGGGACCATTCCCACCAGGTCCGGGTGAAAGCCTACTACCGCGGGTGAGTGACCGCGCGGGGCGTGGGCGGGCTCGGCCCGCGTTGGCGGGCTCGGGTCTTGGTGGCGGGGCCCGAACCATCGTGGGGGCGGCGAGGGGCGCGGTTGGTGGCACCCGGGACGAGTGGGTGTAGGTCGCCAAGGAGTCAGTGGAGAAGAGTAGGTGTACCCGGAGGGGAGAACACCTCAGCTGACCGAGAGATTTGCAACTGTTTCAGACTGGGTGGGTTGAGGATTTTGAGGGTGGGTTCGGTAGCCTGGACTGCAACCTTCATTACCGACAGGCCTGAAGCCTCTGATTTTGTAAATCAGTTTTGTGTCTGCCCTTCGCCGTGGGAGAGTTCATGAAATGAGTCTGGACTAAGGTCATATAGCCATATAGGAATTAAACTTAATACTAAAGTCGATTTTTTTTTTTTTTAAGGATATGCACTGGCTCCTTAGGTATGGTCAGAAGTAAGTGGCAAATGTGCTGATCCACATTTTGGAAGCCCTTAGTGAGGGCGAGGTATGGAGAGTGAGAAGACAGCTTTAACTCTTGTGATTTTCACTCACTTGGTCACCTGACGTTTAAATTAATGTGGCTGTCGAAAGTAATTGAGTTCTGAGATCATTGCGTCAAGTAGTTCTCTATCATGACTTACGGTAGAGTTCTTCCCTTCCTTTGAATTCAGTGGGTGGTTTGAGATCACTTAGGAGCACTAGTGAGGTGAAAGGCTAGTGTGGGCATCGGGACTGGAGAGGAGGGATTAACAGAAAACCCAACTGCTTGTCTAGGCAGAAATAAATTGCTTTTAAAAACTTGGAGTGCCACAAGGTTAAAAGCGCTGTGCGTGCTTTTACATTCCTGAGGGGATCAGTGAAGATAGCAGACCTTTAAATTGCTTGTTTTCATTTCAAAGAGCACTGGAGCTTTCACGAAAGTTCTCAGACTCTGAGGCCAGCCTCTCTAACATCCACTGATTTCAGGACTAATTTGTAGGACTTACAGTAAACACCGTTGTTGTTACATTAAACACGGGCAAGAGAGGTTTTGACTTTAAAACAATCCCCCAGACACATTTTCCTTAATTTTTTTTTCTTGTGAGTTTTTAAAAAAAAGTTGGTAGTTGTCATAGCTGCTTTAGCCATTTTGCATGGTGTGAAACACACTTTGCAAGATTCAGAGAACCACAGCCCCCCCTTCCAGGACAAATCACACAACTTTCTGATAACTTGAGAGAGATTGTACTTCAGAACACTGCTTCTCAATCTTCCTGATGATGTGGCCCTTTGATACAGTGCCTCATGTTGTGGTGACCCCAACCATAAAATTATTTTTATTGCTACTTCATAACTGTAATTTTGCTACTGTTATGAGTAGTAAATGTCTGTTTTCCGATGGTCTTGGATGGCCCTTGTGAAAGGGTCGTTTGACCTCTGCTCAAAGGGGTTGAGAACCACTGCCTGAAAGTGTGTCCCGTTTTCAAAGTTGACAGTCCATGGCTGTTCGGTGCAGAAGACAAAGTACAGTGGATTTCAAAGAAACTGATTATTGATAGGTTAACAAACTGGAAAGCACATATTGTGTACAGGTGTAAAATAAGTGTGTCTTTTCACTCTCCAGTCTCCGCAGGCTCTTCTGTTGCTGGTTAACTTGTTCTTCTGAAGGTTGCATTTGCTGTTCTCAAAGTTGCATTTATTTATCAGCCACCAAGAGGACTTGCTGTTCTCCCAGAGGACCCACATTGGGTTTGAAATACCTGCATCAGGTGGCTCGCAACTCTCTGTAACTCCAGTTCCATGGGACCCACCCAGTACCCTCTTCTGGCCACATGGGCACTCCATACATGTGACACACACGCATATACATAAACAGAAATAAATCTCAAAAGGTGATATTTATGTTTCTTGAGGTATCATCTTTAGATAGTATTCATTGGTTACTTACACTAAAAGATAGTGTGTATAATTTTTTATACTATGTACCTTCTGTCTCCTTTGTCTCTCAGATTTTGGTTGTTTAGCTATTATTTTACTTATTATACTTAGCCTCCAGTGACTACTGAGCAAGGAATTAATACTTTTTCATTTTCTCCATATTTTTATTAATTTGACAAGTATAAATAGGCACATTATATAAATAATTTCCAAAATTTCTTTGAAAATAAATCAGTGTGTCTAGAAACACAGGTATTCTGTAGAGATTTTCTTTATTTATTGTTCCTATTATTATTATTATTTTGGTTTTTTGAGACAGGGTTTCTCTGTATTGTTTTAGAGGCTGTCCTGGAACTTGCTTTGTAGACCAGGCTGGCCTCGAACTCAAAGAGATCCACTTGCCTTTGCCTCCTGAGTGCTGGGATTAAAGGCATTCCAGTTATTTAAAAAAAGAAAACAAGAGAATATGGATATATGATTTGTCTGTTTAAAATTTCTTGAAGACATTCTAATTAATATTATCTTCTACAATTTAAGAAATTTAATAAAAAAAGACACAAATAACTGCAAGTCTTCAATGCTTTGTAATCAATAGAAATGTCCTAATAGTTATTTTTCCCCAAGCCTCCTCTAAGGACAACCTCAGTACTCTAAACTGTACCATTTTCTGTTCTCTGAGTCAGCCATTAAGATTATGTGTTTATTAATAATAATCTAAACTGGTGATTATATTACAGCCAGATGCTTATTAGCATTGATGAGAATAAAATGACTCACTAGCAAGGATAGTTAATAACAAGTAGGATAACAAATCCCACACATAATTAGAAAGTGGACTCCCTTTCCCTTATACTGTCTAGTAAGGGAGGGTTTGCATTTGAAAAATGTTTTTTGAGCTGGAGGTATACTACTCAGTTGGCAGAGTGCTTGCCTAGTGTGCATGAGGTGGTAGGGTCTGTCCCTAGCGCTGCAGACCCCTGCCATGTGGGACATTGAACCCACCACTTAGGTAGAAGGTAGAGAGTATCGGAAGAGTGAGGTTGTCCTTGGCTACATAGTGCATTTGGGACCAGCCTGGGTTGCATGAAATTTTGCCTCAAAAACAAAAACTACCCCCCAAAGAAAAATTTCTTTTCATTAGCTTTTTCGAAAGAGCACTATTCCTCCTAACAGTATTACTTTCCAATGAAGGTTGAATCTGGGAGTGTTTTCAGAGAGTGATTTGCCCTCTTTAAAAAATGTATACAGTGTACTTGGGCTGTTATGTTTGATTTTTAGGGAAAGTGTGTCCTCCTAGATATAAGAGGCATGCAATTTGACTTTTTTCTAGTTTTTAAAAGTAGGAGATTGTTTTCTAGTTTTTAAAAGCACTGAGAATTTGGTTTGACTGGAGACCAACTAAGAGTGCCTGTCTCGTGTCCTGCACCCCATTTCCCCCAACATGGGAACTCAGTCAGTGGCTCTTTTCAGTTGTTACATAGTGCTGCTGGAGGAAGAGAAACAGGTTTTTTTGGTTAGTGATATATTGCTATTGTGTGCTTATCCGTATATAAAGGTACTTGTGGGATAGAATTTAACCAGGTAATGTGTGGGCTGCTCATTTCTTTACATTGTATATGTACAGGAATTCGGCAGAAAGCTTGTAAAAAGCACTTTTTAAGCCATTGTTGTTGAATGGTGATTACCGTCCAGAGAACTCTTCAGTTCACACTAAATTGTTTCTGGCAGTACAAGGGATCATACTGGTGCCCTCCTACTGAGCTGTGTCCACAGCTCAGGATTGACTCTGCACATTTGGAATGTAGAGCTGTTTGCATTTTTTCCCCTTACACTGAACAAGTCCTGTCAGGTCTTGCTTTTAAGAGCATTGCAAAATTATTTTAGCTGTGTGCTTCTCGGCCTTGGAGCTGAGGATGTAGTTCAGCTGGTGAAATTCTTGCCTAGTGTGCACAAAGACCTGGGTTCAATCCAGGCACCACGTTAAACCGAGTGTGGATGTGCCTGCCTGTAGTCCCATTGTTTAGGAGGTGGAAGCAGGAAGATTAGGACTTCTCAAACTTGTCCTTGGCTGCATAGTCATAACTTGGACCTTGTAAGACCCTGTCCCCCCATCCCCCCAAAAAAGGGTGGGAATGGTGGATTGGGAGCCAGATCCGTGGGGTAGTTGGCCCCTAGCTTGACCAAAGAGAAAAGAACCCTCGGAAACCTTGAATTTGGTAGCCCTGGGATAAATAGCTTGTTGGCACCGAGGACCGAAGCTGAGGAGTTGGAGAAATTGTTGAGGTCCAAGAAGCACATGCCCTCTGAAGGGCTGAAGAAGAACCCGAAAGAAGCAACTGTTTAGAAAATTCTCCCCAGAGGGAGAGGTGCTTTGCTCCCTCCCTGGCCCTCCCCTCCTTGATAGTCTCTGGGTAATTGACTGGCCTCAGACTCACCCAGGCTGGCCTTGAACTCTCCATCCTCCAGGCTGTGACACCTGAATGCTGGGATTACAAGGTGTTTGGTAACACATTTTCCTGTGTGTTCTCTCTCCTTCCCTCTCTCCCTTCCCTTGTTCCCTTTTCTGTTCTCACACGGGGCCGCTGTAGCCCCACCTGACACACAGCTTACTCCATAGTGGGGCATGATCTTGAGCTTCTGGTTTTCCTGCCTGCATCTCCCTAGAGGTGGGATAACATGTGTGCCACCACACCCCAGCTTTATGTCATGCTGGTGCTCTAACCCAGGATCTCATGCATGCCAGGTAACTAATGCACCAACCTACCTGTTTTTCAAACCTATTTCCCCTTCTAATTTGATGATGGGACACTATGACATTTTGTCTATTAAAGTTGCTAGGCATTTCTCAGTCTGTTGTTTATCTGAAGATTTTTAGTTTTGTGTAATTAAATTTATTTTCCCCTTTATATGTGGCTTCTTGGTTTGCTTCCTTAAGTAGATGTGCTTCTCATTTATAGGTAGTAGTCTACAGCTTTGTATTGTACAGACTTTAAGTAATCACTGTCTCAGTGTTATATTTTGGGGTATAGTCATCAGTAGTTTTATGATACAATGTGTATCTTAAAATTCTACTGATTTTTTTTGA